ACTGGATAATTCATCCCTGCAGTGAAGAATTGGAAAACCCAACCCTGCAGAACAGAACTGGGATAATCCATCCCTGCAAGGCAGAACAGAGCAAATCTGGATTTTCATTAGCAGTCCAATAAGGACTGAAAGCCACCCCAAACCCTGAGGGCTGCMCAAATATCCCAGTCCTCCCCTGGCACCATTCCCCATCAAAAGAATGGAGCCAAGAGGGAATTCGAGAGCTGCTTCAGGAGAGGTCTGGATGCTGCAAACCACCTTCAGGATACTCCCCACAGAGCTGACTTTAGGTCAAAGTTAGAAGGAGGAAACTGGGATCTGGAGGATGCCTTCATATTTGCTCATGTAACTTAGCAGCCTTAAAAAATAATAATAATAAAAAGGTTGAAAAATTGTAGAAATTGTTGAAAAGTTTGTTGAAACAATTGTTGAAAAAACTGTTGAAATTCCCTAACCACCGCTGTTTGTGCAGGACTCTCTCCTGACCCCCCGGCCATCCCCAGCACCTTTGGAATCCCAATGCTCCAAATKCTCTCTGTGTCAGCTCAAAGCCCCACAGAGCTGAGGAAACTCAGCCCTTTTGCCTTCCAAGTACCCAGACCGTGGTGCTCCCCCTTTCCACCGTGTGGAACATCTCCCACAGCCTCCCAGCACTCGCTGAGATCCCTCCCTGCCAGCAGAAAGCTGTGATTTATCACAGCCCATGTGCTGAGCTGGGCCAGACCAAAACCCCAAAGGAAGCCTCACTTGACAATGTCTCTTTCCTACACTTCCTCGCGGCGGCTCCGCGGGGGATGACCGATGGTGGAAAAATGTTGCTCGCGTCCCTGGGACAAGAATTATGATTATTTGCCGGGCTGCCATCCACCGTGGGGAATTCTGGCTCGTGACATCACCCCATTGTTCCTGCTGGTGCCAAGAGCACGCCGGGATCCCGACTGCTCCGTGGTTCAAGCCCTTTCCTGTTTGCTCGCTCYGTGTTTCCAAACAGTACAGCTCGCTGAGGCTGCACGGGATGTCTCCTGTCTTGGGCTATTTTGTCCCTTTCGTCATGTCTGCCTGGAACTCCTCACAGTGACACCAACAATGTTCTCCCGCGGGCAGAAACAAAAGGGAAAAAATAACGGCGGGAGGCGAAGCCGGTCCTTGGCGTTTGGGACCCCGCGCACGCCTTTGTTCATCTACTGAGCCGTGTTTGTGCAGCACGGGCCGGGCCCTCCTCCAGCCCCGTTGTTGTGCTGTGTGATTTTAGCGTGGTGACAGTGCCAGGAGGGCTGGCCTAGGGAAGCTGGCTCCTGATCTTTATCGGGGGAATGGGGACAGGAGCAGGAGCTGCTCAGGTTCTCCGTGCTCCAGAGGTCAAGGAGAACTGCAGCGCCCTGTGTTGGATGAACTGCCAGGCCACAGCATGAGGGGATTGACATCTGTGGGTTTGAGACACCCAAAATATGAGATCTAGAGGTGTTTGAGGGAACCCARAGCTGGTGAAGGGTCTGGAGGGGCCACACAAGGAGCAACTGAGGGCATTTGGTGTGTCTGGCTGGAGCAGAGAACTCCGGGATCTGCAGCTCCTCCCGAGGGGCAGCTCCGATCCCTGGGACAGGGACAGGGACAGGGAAGGGCTGGAGCTGGGCCAGRGCAGGCTCARGCTGGAGAGCAGGGAAAGGTTCTTSTGTCCCCAGAGGGTGCTGGCACTGCCCAGGCTCCCCAGGGAATGGTCCCGGCCCCGAGGCTGCCAGAGCTCCAGGAGCGTTGGGACAGCGCTGCCAGGGATGCACAGGGTGGGGTTTGGGGGGTCTGGGCAGGGCTGGGG